ATGGCAACCCACTGCAGCAGGGGCTGCAGCCTACACCCTCGATGGTGACTCCAGGTTGAGCTGTTGTTCAGCATCTTAGCTGTAGAGGGCAGTGTCATTGGCCCTCATATGTGGGATCCGAACCGGGGCCCTCTGGCGTCCCAAGCCAGCTCTTAACCAACACGCCACTGGGCAGGCCTTCCCCTCTTATTCTTTGAGGACCCCCCAACACTTAGCAGAAACCATGGTCTATTGTGGGGCTAGGCGACCAGATTCTTTCTTCAGCCTCTTCTTCTGTGAGCATCTCAACTGTGCATGCCACTCTGAGCCAGCCCATCTGACTGTTGGCTGGTCCATGCTCAGGGCTGGCAGCGTGCAGGCGTGAAGCTATAAGGAAGGCATGCGGCTGTGAGGCAGGTCTATAGCCCCTGACTCACTGCCGTGTTCTTACTCTCTGCAGAGATCCAGAAGCTGGTGCTGGAGGGCCGTGTGGGGGAGGCCATTGAGACCACACAGCGCTTCTACCCAGGGCTGTTGGAGCACAACCCCAACCTGCTGTTTATGCTCAAGTAAGTTTTGGGCCCCACCACCTCCCCTATAGCCCAGCCCTTCTCAGCTGGTGGTGGGAACATAAAACCAGGACCAAGCCCAGTGCAGTGCCGCTCCGCTCCCTCTGCAGGTGCCGACAATTTGTGGAGATGGTGAATGGGACAGACAGTGAGGTCCGCAGCTTGAGCTCCCGAAGCCCCAAGTCCCAGGACAGCTACCCTGGCTCCCCCAGCCTCAGCCCCCGACACGGCCCCAGTAGTTCCCACATGCACAACACAGGTCAGCCACTCTCCAGAGGGCTCTGGGAAGAACTGGTGTGGAGAAGAAAGGCTACCCACATACCCTTCCCTGGGCTGGGCTCAGGGCTCACTGCTGGATTTGGGGGAAGGGAAATTAGACCACTGTGGTCATTCCCAGGGCCCCACTTGATGACAAGTTGCCCCTCCTCTTCTGACTGTCCCCTGGCTTTCAGGTGCAGATAGTCCCAGCTGCAGCAATGGCGTCACATCCACCAAGAGCAAGCAGAACCACAGTAAATACCCTGCGCCCAGCTCCTCCTCCTCCTCCTCCTCTTCCTCGTCGTCTTCCTCATCCCCATCCTCCGTCAATTACTCTGAATCCAACTCAACAGATTCCACCAAGTCCCAGCCCCACAGCAGCACCAGTAACCAGGAGACCAGGTGCCTGTCTTGCTCTGCTTCTTCTTCCTGCCTTCTCCTCTGTACCAGCTGGGCCCACTACAGCCTGACTTTTGCNCGCTGTCGCCGGCGATTCATGGCAGCCCCGCTCCAGGTTGAGCTGTTGTTCACCATTTTAGCTGTAGAGGGTGCAGTGTCACTGGCCCTAATGTGGGATCTAAACCAGGGCCCTGTTGTTCAGAGCTGGTGTCCCAAGCCAACACTTAACCAACGCACCACTCGGCCGGCCCACAAATACATAATTTCATCATAAGAGGTTTTCTTTATTGACTTGTTTGTTTGTGCTAGGTACTTTATGTGTATTATCTCACTCCCTAAAACACGAGGGGGCACACAGCTGAATTTCTGTGCCTTGCACATGACAGCCCTTCAGACATTTGTGTTTGGCAATTATAATAATGACATCAGACACATGTACACACCAAAGTATTCACTCCTGTGTAGCTCAGATGTGAGGGCTCCTTTTGCTCTGCATGTGTGTGCCACCACTCAGGCAACTTTGGGTGGGGTTAAATAGCTGCTGAGCCTTGGGTTTTTCAGAGCTATTTCCCACATTGTGTTCCTGTTGGCCATGTTGTTGCCTGATGGCTTCTTGGGCCCCTGATTTGTGGTGTGTTGGGAGTAACTTGGTTCGTGGGTTAGCTCCCCATGACCCTCTAGAGCCAGGACTCCTGAGAGCCAGTTTCACCTGGTGAGCTAGAATGCTTCTGCCAGGCACGTGGGGCAGCCTGCAGAGGAGCTCCTGTGCCTGGAGAAGGTACGCACGTGGCATGCATTATCTCTGTCTGGGCAGCTGCCAGACTGCTTGGCTGGCTGCCTTTCCAGGAAGCCGTCAGAGAGACTTTTGGCCATCTCTGGACTTGCTGCAGTTCGCAGGAGGCAGCCGCTTCTGTAAGGAGATGGTATGTGCCTGTGTGTGTACTTTTGTTATCATACTTGCCCACTTGTGGGCAGCATATCCCAGAGAAACCGCAGTCACTCCTCCAAGCCGTGAGGACAGATGTGGTGACCAGCCCCTCCCCAGCCTGACTGCATGAGCACTGGGGGAAATTTTTATTTTGTTACAGCCCCTTTATTCTCATTCTGTGGAGGTTGCACCTCTAAGATGGGTGTGTTTAAGGAAGACCTAACAGGGAGATAGTTTGTCCCATCAGGTGGTTAGTGAGAAATACAGTTCTTGAGTGTCACCTTGAGCATTTCCTTTCTTCTAGCATGGTCTCATCTTACCTGGTGCATCATGGGTACTGTGCCACAGCCACGGCTTTTGCCCGAATGACTGAAACCCCGATTCAGGAAGAACAAGCGTCCATAAAGAACAGACAAAGTAAGGTTGATACTCCTTTTCCCTCTCTCCCAGTCCCTCACCTGTCCCTAACTCTGCTCTCTGGTTTATGTCAGCTTGGGTAATCTGTCAGAGTCCCTTCAGCTCTGGTCTTCCACACCAGGAGACTAGCCCAGAGCCCCACCCCAGCCCCAGGTCCTGCTTCTGTCCCTCCTTCAAGACAGCGCTGCCCAGATGGACAGTCTGGCAGCGTGGGAATGTCTCAGTACAGCCTCCCCAATGCACTCTGCTGGCCCGGCACAGGTTGGGGCTTGATATGGCTGCCTCCCATTGCACGCTTGTTTCCTTCCCCCTGAATCCTGGATTCTACTCAGCCTCTTGTTCATGGTCTTCCAGAAAGAGTGTGTTTGCATCTTAGACCACCATCCTGCCTTTCACACCGCTTACTCAGCTTTAGTAGTTTTGCCTTCTCCTGGCCAGAGAGAGAACTAATCAGACAGGGCCAAGGCTGATGCTCAGTGGCTGCTGTGGTAGCACCTCTTTCTGCTCCCCACCTCTGGTCCTGCCCTTTGCAGACAACCAAAGGAAGGAGCCAAAGGAAGCTTTCCTGGTGTTCATACTGGCCTGTGTATTTGTGAGGGGCTCATTTATGGAAAGAGGGTGTTGGGAAAGCGGAAACAGAGCCCAGAAAAGAGACAGGAAGAGGAGAGAAGAGTGAAGGAGAATCGGTGTGTATGGACATGTGTGTCTGTGTGTGCCTGCTTGCGTCTCTTTGAGCCTGTTGTCTCTGTGTATGTGCATGTGTCTGTGTCTCCCAGAGAAGCTATGCCCAGCCAGACAGACGGAAAGGGTTCCCAGACTTGGGATCTATGAATGAGAGAGCCTCAGCCCCAGAAGTCGCTCCCAGCAAGACACACCAGGCCCCAGGGCAAGAGCAAGATGCTGATGGCCTGAGAGGTGTCAAGGTCAGAGATGCCAGTGTGAGGAGGATGACTTCCTCTCCCGGCAGGGAGCACGCTGCAGCCCCTGAAGACTACCAAGACGTGGGCTCTGGCCCAGAAACAGTGCGCTCCCATTGCCACTCCTCTGTGAGGCTTGAAAGGAGAGAAGTCCGATGAAAGAGGAACCCTAAGGGCCACCAGGCTTCCTGGGCACCCATCCCCAGATCATGCTCACACATCCAGGGCCTCTTCCCCCGCCCAGGTCCCTGGCAGTCTGTATTCCATAGGAGCAGGCCTCCAAACTCCCAGGGAGCCCTGAGGCAAAGACAAGGTGGCTG